TGGCAAAAGGTGAAAGAGGAGCAAAGACATGTTTTACATGGCAGCACAGAAGAAGAGCATGTGCAAGGGAACCTCCCTTTATAAAACCAGCACATCTCGTGAGACATTCACTACCACAAAAACAGCACAAAAAAACCCCATCCTATGATTCAATTACCTCCCACCTGGTCCCTCCCACAACACAAGGGGATTATCAGAACTACAATTCAAAATGAGATTTGGGTGGGGACACAGTCAAACCCTATCACAGGCTGACTGAATTAATACACTGGTTTACATAATTCCTGCTTTTATATGCAGAATACAATAAACATTATTGAACCTTTTCTCTGTGAAGCAAGATCATCATTCTGAAGATAACAATGTCACTTCTATAATACAGTCTATGAATGCTAGTATGACTCTTGAGCGTAGTGTAATGTCACGAATCTGCTAAGTGCTTTTTACGGATTTACTCTTTGCTCTCATTACTTACTGTTCTCAGTGTCACTGCTCCAAGTGTCATCCCCTTCCCTACCTTCTCATTTTAATTCTAAACTCTTACGTTTTCTGAAGTCTATCCTCTAGAATAATACAAAATGCAGACAAATGAACTCCATATTTCTTGCAGCATTAATCATCAGAGCAAAACAATAATGAAAGTAAAATGAAAATGCACAACACAAGAAAATATTTAGTGAGTGGTACTTTAGAATATGATGTAGCCATTAAAATCATCTTCACATGAAGAGGCTTTAATGAAATGAGGAAGTGCTTATGTAGTAATGTTAAATGCAAAAAGCAGGACATAAAATTACAATAAAACTACCAGATACCAACCACATTTTAAAAATGCTTAGAGTGAGGAAAATATACCAAAGTGTTTACCATAGTAAGATTACTGACAATTATTATTCTCATATTATACTGTTCTACATATTTCTGTTTATTTCTGCAATTAAAGTATACCACTTTAAGTCAGAAAAAGAATTTTATAAAAGGAAATATCACATTGGAAAATATAACCTATTTAATCAGAACTATATAAAATAAAAATATATAGATTCCATGTAAGAATCAAACTCCTTTGTTGTGTGGACTTGTCCACAATTCTGTGACATGGTAGGGTTGCACACACATGGTTTTTGCTCACTTCCCACTTCTTCACTAAATTTGAGGCTGCTGGACAGCTGAATTTTGTGGATGGGCAACGCATTAAGGTATATATGTATTAAAGGGGAAGAGAGAGAGAGAAAGAAAAAAAAGGAGAGGGTGAAAAACTTCTGAGCCAATGATTTTAGAAATATAGATCTAAGTGGCTTTTTTCAGTAACCAGTTTTTTATTAATAGAAGTTTAGATGCCACAAATAGAAGTAACTGTCATTAAGTCACTCAGGCTGATTTATCAGTGAATGAGCATTAAAGACAAATTAACCTCTCTAAAGACCAAGATATCTTCTAACTAATAATTAACTACTTTCTAAAACTGGGAGAGCTCAATTAAGAATGTGAAGAAGTCAAAACTAAGCATAGAAAGAAGCTAAACAGTTGAAGAAAATGAGTGTCTTAGTGTAGATGTTCCTTGACTTACCATGAGATTACATCCTGATAAACCCATTGTAAATTGAAAATACTCAAGTTGAAAATTCGTTTAATACATCCAACCTACTGAATATCATAGCTTAGTTTAGTCTAACTTATATATGCTCAGATCACTTACATTAGCCTGTAGTTGGACAAAGTCATCTAACACAAAGTCCATTTTATAATAAAGTGAATAAAGTGTTGAATCTCATGTAATTTAGTAAATACTTTACTGAAAATGAAAAACAGAATGGGTGTGCTTGAAGTACAGATTTTACAGAATGTGTATCACTTTTGCACCATCATAAAGTCAAAAAGTACTAAATTAAAACATCTTAAGTCAGGAAGCTTCTGTATAAGATGGTTATATCTGCACATATTGGATACTACTACCAATTCTCTATCCTAATTCTATTGTATTATTATGAAATATTTTCTGCTAAATAGTAATGTCTTTTCTAATTTTATCCTCTTTCTTTGATTGAAATAATTAACATTTCAGGAAGAGGAGGTAGTGACTTTTGATTTTACAACACACAACAACACTCATTCACTCATGCATACACATAGCCTATCTGCCCTCATCCCCTACCCTTCATCACCTCATGCAGAGATAACCAAAGGCAAACTGAGCCCAGAGTGGGCGTTTTAACAAATAGATGTTGCTAGACCTCTCAAAGCTTCTGAAGATCACTTTAAAAACTTCTACTCTGCCTCCCCAAACACTACATGTCAAGAAAAGATTAAGTTAGAGTACAGCTGACCCTTGAACAACATAGGTTTAACTGCATGGGTCCCCTTATATGTGCATTTTCCTCTGTCTCTGACACCCCTGAGACAGAAAGACCAGCTCCTCCTCTTCAGCAGCCTGTTCAGCCCACTCAAAGTAAAGTAGATGAGGATGAAGGATGAGGATGAAGACCTTTATGATGATCCACTTCCATTTAATAAATAGTAAGCATATTTTCTCTTTCTTATGAATTTCATACAATTTTTCCCCTAGCTTACTTAATTGTAAGAATACAGTATAAACACATATAACATATAAAATATGTATTAACTGTTTATGTAATCAGTAAGGCTTATGGTAAACAGTAGGCTACTGGTAGTTAATATTTTGGGGAATCAAAAGTTTTATGTTAATTTTCGACTGCATGGAGAGTTGGCATCCCTAACCCCCATGTTGTGCAAGGGTCAGCTGTACCTTACACTGGTTTAAGCAATAGACAAGGCCCAAATCTGTTCTCATTAATCACTTGTGGCATTAATTAGCATTTTCAATATGATCTCTAAGGATTTCCCCAAACATAATATTTTATTATTATAATAGCCCTGTGAGATTATATTAGCCCAATTTTGCAGACGAAGAAACATAGGTTCTAAAAGGTTAATTTCCTGAAGATCACACCAGTATTAAGCTGGGGAAAGGCCTAGACCCCAGATCCTGTAACTTTCAATAATGTGCTTATTTCCACTGTTACATGCTACAAGGTTTACTGACAGATTAATTCTATGCCAAACTATTTGCCCCTAAAAGCCATGTGCAAGTGTATTAGTAGCTGCTCAACAATGCAGGAGAGTGGAAAATTATTCCTGAAGCAGGAAAACATTGAGTGGTGGGTGATTGCAACTGATGATCATCCTCACCTTGATGTCTCCTTGTGCCCCTTCATCCACTAGAATGCATCCCTCTTCTCTTCACAAATACATGCCCCCCATTTGTCCTTCAAGGTTTAAAATAATGTCCTCCTCTGCAAAATTCATGGAAAATTTCAGCCATTTCCACTATTTCCTGACTCCACAGTTCAGCTTAGCTTCAATAACTTGAAGATATTACAGGGTATATTTAGTCCCAAATTCTTCAGGAATTTTTCTCCAGAACTCATACATGTATGTTTTAGCTCCCTAGCAAGACTTTAAGCAAGAGCTATTTCTACATCTCAGATTCCTTTCCATGTATTCACTGCTTTTCTCTTTTCTCCAACTACCTAGTATATTGCCATGCATTCAATAATTGCTTACTGGGCAAATGAGAACCTGCATAGCTTGATTAGTAATTAGGAAGTTGGCATCCCAGTTTTACAACTAAGTAACTGCATTATTTGAGGTAAGTCTATGAGTTTGTGTTCTCACCATAAAATGGTCATAGGGGCAAGAAGTGGGCAGACTATATGAGTTCTATGATCTATAAGATGCTCTGAATATTTAAATATTATTTTGATTGGGACTGACCAAAACCTTACTTTATAAAATTAAGGATGAAAAAAGAGATGAATAGGAATTCCAATGAGAAGAATATTGAAAGTAACAAAAATGCTAGGCAGAAGAAAGCCAGTGTGTGTGGAAAATGAAGAAAGCAAAGAACAATCAGAGAAAGCCAGCATGTCCTGGACAAAACTGGAAATACAAATCCTGGTTGAGAGGGAGGTGAAAGGTTAGAGGGTGGAATATACATGGAGGCAGCTTAGTAAATAGAAATATTGTCTAAGTGGTAAGCATAATGTAGTATAACATTTTGTTTTGTTTTATGAATTTGCTCCTCTGCTATTTTAACTTGAAATCAAATGGTAAGCAAATATTGAGCATGCATAGATTCTGATGAAGAGAATAAGTTGCATGCTAAAAAATCCTTGTAAAAATAAAAACAGAAGTTTTGGCATTAATAAAATAATTAATACCATTAACATTTGACCATCAGAAACCTTTTTTCCTGTACTTTTTCCTCCAATTTTTTTGAGAGGGAGAGATGGAGAGGTATAGTAATTTTAATAGGGTATTTCTGCTGCTTAAGTTTAATTTTATTAAAGATTTTAATAATTCCAAGTAATACTATACAAATTTCATTAAAATGTGATTTTAGCTGACAGACTACATAATAGATTAAAATAATGTTATAAGGAGGTCTGTCCATGACTTCATTAATAAGCTCCCTTGGATGGGAAGAACTTATGGCAGGCAGTAAGATGAAGTCTCTGATGTGGTAGTGTCTGAGTTGCTAAGGAAAAGAGAGTAATGATTAGCTTAACAGCTTGAGGAAAAAAAAATATCCTCTTTAGAAAAAATATCTAAAATTAACATAAGTATTTGCATTGAATAACATTTCTTGGATTATCAGATGTAAAAGTTTTCAGTTGCTATCCAAAGTTGAATAACACTTTAGGAGTACTCGGTTAACAAAAAAGCCAAAAACAAACCACAAAACATCCCAATAAAAAAGAGCAAAATTTTAAAGGTATTTGATATTTAAGATCCAATTTTAAGAATCTTCTGTCTTGATACTAAAATTGCAGAGAATAAATTTATTAGTTCACGTTACATAACTTTGAATCCAGTTTGCCCCTGACCTTTTACCTCAGAAAAGACCCAAGTTTAACCAACATTTATAATGAAATTTTTTCCAAGAAGAAAAAAATTGTGTGTTTTAAAGACAAACATACCTGCTTCATCATAGGATACAGTTAATTTTTCTAGCATTTCTCGGTCAATTGACAAAATCTGCTGTTCAAGGATGGTCTGGTAAGACAATACACTATTTTCTTTGTCTTTTTCATAGTCCTGAAGATGCTGTTTAAGGGCCTCTGGGAGTCGAGATTTTACATATTCAGCTGCAGTCTGCAAATGAAACAGTCAGAGAAAGAACTCCATTAAAACTTCTCCTCTTAGACTTTTGACTTACCCTCAGGTGCTATAGAGAAAGCTCAAAGCATTGTGGAACCAACCCTCCAGAGAAGCATGTCCTTGTCATCGTCATTTTTAGTATCCACTGGACCCAGTAAGGTGATCTTCAAATAAACAGAATCAACAGACCTCTAAAAGTTTTCTACCATGTTTAAGGATACAAAAGAAGATAGATTTAGTTAGATATTCACAGAGTTAGTGCTCAGAGTTTCAACTATTACAGTGAACTGAAGGCCCTGTGATAGTGATTTTGCTGGATACAAATTTAACTTGCCCTTGTCCACAACGCGGAAGACAGTCACTCATATCAGCAATGAGCCCATCCATGCTTTGGCATCCACATCCCTACTTTGTTTTGTTAGTCTCTACTCATTAATGCTTACACAAGAGCTCTAGTAAAGCGAATTTTATAAAGGAGAGTCCTTTGCTAGGGCCAATAATGAAATAACAGGATAAACAGAAAATGAGATTTAAGACAATGCCACTTAACCTGAAAAATAAAAAACCTCTTCACCACTTAAACACCTTAAGCTTATGTATATAAAATACTTAACTTTGACAGGTGTGTTGTTGCTGTTTGCTTTTACACTATCTGTACAACACACTCCCAACTAGTTACATTCCAATTAGTAACAAGTAATTACATGCAGTGATTTTCAATCAGGTAAGCATGTTCCACTTGGGGGTAGGAAGGAAGATATGTGTATTTTGAAAAGGTTTTCCCAAAGATTCTGATAATTTCTTTTGGTAGGCTGCAGTGGTAGCATACTCTTTTCTCTCCAAGTTGAGAATCCCAGTGCTAGTCAAGCAGAATTTTATGAGCATAATTAAGTGACAGAGAGGCATGCATAAATCAGGGGAATTCTGAAACTTGTAAAACTTATCTCTTGAGAATGTCAAGAGTTTAGCATCTCCTTGCAGTGCAGTCCTGCTTTACACACTTAGTGTCTAAAGTTAAATAAATCAGCAAAGTCCTTCACATATTGTTCAAAATTATATTCACAATCACTAAAAAACTTCAAAAAGAAACTGCTGGAAAAAAAATAAGATGGTCTCTGGGGCAATCTTTGCTTAGAATAAGGCAAAGACCTGTCTACATGGAAAAAACAAACAAAAAAAAAACCAACCCATAGTGTTCTGTGGTGCATTAGGGTGACTATGGTTATCAGTAAGGTGTTATCTATTACAAAATAGCTAGAAGAATGTTTCTAAATGTTTCCAACATAAATAAATTATAATTGCACAAGGTAAGGGACATGCTAACTACCTTGATTTGAACATTATACAAAATATACATGTATTGAAACATTAAACCTTACCCCATAAATATGTAAAGCTACAATGTATCAATTTTTAAAATTCTGTACAGCTAATAATTGTATAATTTAAAATAAGTATGCATTAAACACACACACTGATATATATATATACACATATGAGATACATGCTAATCAACAGAGGTTCGGTTTTTTCATTTATAAAGTAGTATGCTCTATAGCCTTTGGAAAAAAAATGACATAGGACTATATGTACTGACTAGGTGATACATTGTTGAGGTTAGTAATCAAAGTCACAGAATATCAGAGACAGTGTATCCCACAGCATACATATATGCATATATTATATTTAGTATTAGCATATAGGCATAGGAGAAGATATGGAAGAACATATTCCAATTGTGGAAGATATTTTATTTATTTATTTAGAGATGGAGTTTTGCTCTTGTTATCCAGGCTTGAGTGCAATGGCACGATCTCAGCTCACTGCAACTTCCACCACCCAAGTTCAAGCAATTCTCCTCCCTCGGTCTCCTGAGTAGCTAGGACTACAGGCACCTGCTAGCACGCCCAGCTAATTTCTTCTGTATTATTAGTAGAGATATAATACTGGTTTTCACCATGTTGGCCAGGTGGTCTTGAACTCCTGACCTCGGGTGATCCACCTGTCTCAGCCTTCCAAAGTGCTGGGATTACAGGCATGAGCCACTGCACCTAGCCAATACTTTATACGTTCCACATTTTTGTATTGTTTCTGTGTTCTCACTATTGTAATTTTAAAAAATTGTCTTTAAAATATGTTTGTTGTGTAAACATTTTATTTCAATAGCTTTTAAGGAACAGGTGGTTTTGGTTACATGACTAAGTTATTTAGTGATGATCTCTGAGATTTTGGTGCACCCATCACTCAAGCAGAATACACTGTACCCAATATATAGTCTTATCCCTAATTTCCCCTGTCAACCTCCCCTTTATGTCCCCGAAGTCCATCAAATCATTTTTATGCCTTTGCATCCTCATAGCTCAGCTCCCACTTATAAGTGAGAATTTACGATATTGTTTTCCATTCCTGAATTACTTCACATAGAATAACGGTCTCTAGCTTCATCTAAGTTGCTGCAAATGCCATTATTTCATTCTGTTTTATGGCTGAGTAGCATACCACGATGAATATATACCACAGTTTCTTTATCCACTTGTTGGTTGGTTGGCATTTAGGTTGGTTCCATATTTTTGCAATTGTGAATTGTACTGCTATAAACATGCATGTGCATGTGTCTTTTTCATGTAATAACTTCTCCTTTAGGTAGATACATTAAAATATATTTCTTTATGACCTTCATGATTTCCCCTTTAAATGTTAACACAATTTAGCATGAAAAGAAACTTGCAAGAACAACGACAATTGACTTCCAAGGAAAAGTACACTGACAAGTGGTGGTGAAGTTATATTTTAGCCTCTAGAATAGCCAAAGATAGCACACAACACATTTTATTTCCAGATTTATATTTATGTTTCCTAATTCTGTTGCTGATAAAATTACAACCTTAACATCATCAAACATTGTTCAATTTCTCTGCCAGCCATCTAGTGCAGAACAAATAAAATTATTCCATAAAACATAAATGGACTCAGCATATTTGTGAAACATATTTAATTCTAGAACTTAATAATATTTTTCCCTGACATTGGAAAATAGACATACTGCACAATAACTGTTTTAAAACTCACACTACCTTGTTACTCAGTGTAATATCTGTCATTAATTTTTTTCCTGGAAATACCCATGAGGTAAAGGAAATAGTTTCATAATTCACATTTTACAAATACTGATGTACTCTATTATTGAAAGCACACCATCGGATTCCTGGCTAGCCATAGGCAGACGATTGAAACTGGACCTCTTCCTTACACAATATATAAAAATTAACTCAAGATGGATTAAATACTTTAATGTAAAGCTCAAAACTATAAAAACCCTGGAAGATACCCTAGCCAATACCATTCAGGACATAGTCATTGGCAAAGATTTCATGATGAAGACACAAAAAGCAATTGCAACAAAAGCAAAACTTGACAGGTGGGATCTAATTAATCTAAAGAGCTTCTGCACAGAAAAAGAAGCTATCATCAGAGTAACCAGACAATCTATAGAATGGGAGAATATTTTTGAAAATTCTGCACCTGACAAAGGTCTAATATTCAACACCTATAAGGAACTTAAACAAATTTACAAGAAAAAGACAACCCCATAAAAAAGTAGGGAAAGGACATGAACAGATACTTTTAAAAAGAACACATACATGTGACCAACAATCATATGACAAAAAGCTCAACATCAATGATCATTAGAGAAATGCAAATCAAAACACAATGAGATATCATCTAACATCAGTCAGAATGGCTATTAGTAAAAAGCCAAATGATAACAGATGCTAGCAAGGTTGTGGAGGAAAAGGAACACTTTTACACTGCTGGTGGGAGTATAAATTAGTTTTACACTCCATCCACCATACTGACAGTGTGGTGATTTCTCAAAGACCTATAGACACAAATACCATTCGACTCAGCAATCCCATTACTGGATATATACCCAAAGGAATAGAAATAATTCTACTGTAAAGAAACATGCTCACATCTGCTTATTGCAACACTATGTACAATAGCAAAGACATAGGCCGGGCGCGGAGGCTCACGCCTGTAATCCCAGCATTTTGGGAGGCCGAGGCGGGTGGATCACGAGGTCAAGAGATCGAGGCCATCCTGGTCAACATGGTGAAACCCCGTCTCTACTAAAAATACAAAAAATTAGCTGGGCATGGTGGTGCGTGCCTGTAATCCCAGCTACTCAGGAGGCTGAGGCAGGAGAATTGCCTGAACCCAGGAGGCGGAGGTTGCGGTGAGCCGAGATCGCGCCATTGCACTCCAGCCTGGGTAACATGAGTGAAACTCCGTCTCAAAAAAATAAAAAATAAAATAAACAATAGCAAAGACATGGTATCAATGCAAATGCCCATCAATGAAAAACTATACAAAGAAAATGTAGTACATATACACCATGGAATATTATGCAGTCATAAAAAAGAATGAGATCATATCCTTTGCAGGGACATGAATGGAACTGGAGGCCATTATGCTTGGCAAAGTAACACAGGAACAGAAAACCAAATACCGCATGTTCTCACTTACAAGTGGGAGCTAAATGATAAGAACACATGGACGCACAGAGGTGAACAACACACAATGGGGCCTTTGGAGGATGAAGGGTGGGAGGAGGAGAGGATCAAGAAAAACAACTCAGGGGTATTAGGCTTAATACCTGGGTGATGAAATAATCTGTATAACAAACCCCCATGACACAAGTTTACCTATGTAACAAATCTGCACTTGTACCCCTCAACTTAAAATAAAACTAAAAAGAAAGCATACCACATATCTTCCTTCAATTGTGGCCATTGATTGTGTTTGAAATGAAATTTGCTTTTCTAATTACAATCATAATATAGGTCTTTGTACAGGGCCTATAGCTTTGACTAAACTGGAGTTATATTTTGGCATTTCATTTCTAAAACAGCACAACATCATAGATAGACTTCTTGCTATTGAGAAAGATTCTTAAGGGGAACAGAAGGAAACAACTCTAATCAAGACATTAG